GTAGCTCCCAGTGCTTTGGGGAGGAAAAACAAATCACACATGAGAAAATGGGCCATTTTTAATTTAGATTTCAGAAACATTTGGGGAGTGATTGCAAAACAAGACTATTCCTCAGTCATGCTGTTCAACATATATATGCCACAGAATAGGTGCTAAACAAAACTTTGAAACCAGGTAGAACTCACATCTTTCTGGAATATAGTAACTATCATGTCTGCATACTTAAGTCAGTTATAGCCAATCTCCTTCATTACTTGATTGGTTGAGCTATCTCTAGTCCATAGCATCTTCCAGCCCTACCAAACTTGTCCTCAAAATTCTGCTTACACTCTCTCTCTCCCACACTCTCTCTCAACCAGCCAGGTGAGTTTCCATGAAGCTCTTCAATAAATAAGCAAACTGGCTTTGAATGCTCTGTGATTCTGCCTACCTTCGTCTTCCCCAATTCTGTAAGCCATAGTATCTTTTCTTCAGCTGCCCATTTTATAAAGAAACCCCAAATGAAGCCAATGCACAGCCTCTTTCTCTCTCTGTCCACCAAAAAGGGTTGCTCTTACAGGTTGTCTTCCTTGCCTTATTCAGAACCATGAAATGAAATATTTAAATATGGCTAGGTTCTGCCATTACATCATTGATCCAGTTAACAACCTCCCAGAAGAATTCAAATGTTTCCAAATGAAAAATAAATGCTAACCTATGAACGAACTTTTTTAGTGTACTGAACTCCTTTCAATCTAGTTTTCAGTAGTTAATTAGCATCCATTTGAAGTGAAGCCTTATAGCAGTCTCCCCTAACTTCCAGATGCGTAGGACCACACTGTCCATCATCACCCATACTGGATGGCATACTGAAGCCTTCCAGAGAGTTCAGGGGCTGAATGTGCCCACAATCATTCAAACTTTGCCTACTAGCATGACCAAAGATAAGCAGATCATCATGACTGGGCACTCCATGTTGATACTTCCACTGGTAGCAGAGCAAGCAATGGTATGCCAGTGGCTTTTGAAAGCCATCTTGGACTCTCAGTATCACATTTGGGAGGGTAGACTGGATCATCCCCTTGCACCGACCATTTCTGGGCTAAACTGGAAACAACAGTTTCGGATTCCTGATGTTCTTTTTTTCAACCACCAATAACCAGATTGACCCAGACTCAATAGACTCAAAGCATTGGAAACTTGGCAGTTGGTTGGGTTTTGTATCTCACTTCAGTGGATACGGGGGAGACTTTTATTTTACAGAAGGAAAGCTTACAAAGTTCAATCTGTTTTTTATCTTTTTTAGCTTCTGCTTTCTATTTCTGTTCTATCAGAAATATTGACTGTTCTATTTCTATTGACTTTTTCTTTGCCTCTTCTCCTTGTTTGTTCCTAGCTGGGCTTTCTGAGTCTTCTCCTCTTTCCTATCTTTGCACCATCTGAGGGAAACTTCTCCCTCATGCCAGTCTGAGGGAAGGAAATAAACACCTCTCTCTCCTCAGTTTTCTCAGCTGCTGCCTCCTTTCCAGTTGCCTCTTCTCCTAAGGGCTGCCCATCTCTTACTTTGCCTCTTTACTTCAACTCCTGGGCTTGGGCTCTGTTTATTCAGCAGCTTCTTTTTCATGAGGCCTGTGGTGGCACAGCTCCCAGGCAGCCATCTTGCCTCCTGTCTGCGTCTCCTCACACTGCTGTTTGATTGGCAGCTGCAGACTGATTGGCAGCTGGGTCGTCCTGGCGATGGGGGAGGGCCAAGAAGGGAGGGAAAGGAGCACAGGTGCTTCTAAGCTGCTCAGGCAGTCTATCCTTCCACACCATGATTACCTGCTTGATTGGGCCCCAACCTCCAGGGCAGCCTTCATTATCTTAAAATATCTTGAGATATTATATCCAGGAACGCTTAGACACCACTAATTAGGTATTATTTAATACAGTCAGTACTGTCATGGCAAGGCCTTGCCTAGCAACAATGTGAACATGTCTCCAAAGCAGTTACTATCTTGATAGCATGCCTGCTGCCAGTGTATATGGATCCTCCTATGCCTGGCTGGCCTAGTGACCTAAAGCCTACAGCTGTACCTTCTGCTCCATCCCCATCCCCATCTGCTTCAGCTTCATGCTTCCCCTCTACTGATAACCAAGAAGTTAGAACTTCCTAAGGCACCCAACTCATCAATGACTCTGGGTGGCATACAAAGTTACAAACCACAGCCCAACATAAAAGCCAATAAATAAATGTCACAACAAGGGGGAAAACATGTTACACATGTGCTAATCCAATAGTGGCACACCCCACCCAAGCCCAAGGCCTGGGGAAAAGCCCAGGTTTTCAAAGTTCTCTTTGAAGGGTTGGAGCTGTTCAAATCTCCAGGGGGACATTATTCTAGAGAGCAGGTCCTCTACAGAGAAGGTCCTCTACAGAGAAGGTACAGCTCCTGGATCCATAAGGTGGCCCTGCTTGATACCTTGAACCTGGAGCATGCCAACTTTGTCAGCTCTTACAGGAGAGGCAGAAACAATGTAAGAAAAATAGTCCCTCAAATAACTCAGCCTATATGTTATGTAGGGCTTTGTAATTGGAAAAAAGCACCTTGAATCGTATCTGGGAACCTACTGGTAACCAATGCAGATCATGTAGGAGAAATGTTACATCGGCACACAGAGGGTATGCCCATAATTGCTTATCTCGCTGTATTCTGAAACAGCTATAGCTTCCAAATGGTCTTCAAGGACAGCCCCATAGATAGTGCACTGCAATAGTCTACACACAGGTTGATTAAAGAATGAGTGACCGTGAGAAGAGCCTCCCAGTCCAGGAAAGACAAATCTGTGCAAAGGCCTTCTTGGCCACAGCTGCCACCTGTTCTTCAAGCATGAGCTCTGACTCCAGGAAGACCCCCAACTTGTGCATGGGTTCCATCTAAGGAAGTGCATCCCCATTCAGAAGTAAAGATGGAAAGGCCAAAGAGCAACTAAAGTTTGATCCAACCCTGATCAAGGACTGAATGTAACGTCTTCCATCTTCAGATCACATGAAAACTTCCCTGAAACAAAACCCACATCTAATATGTCCCCATATGTATAGGTCTAGCCCTCAGTAGTCAGTCAGGTTCATGTTTATTATGGAAATGCCAAACCACTTTAAACTCTGTCACATGAGGGTAAGCTAAGGTTTCCCAGAATGAGGGCTTAAAAAAGACTTTCAGAGAGCTGTTAGAAGTGTAATGGTATGTGGGAATGACCTTGGGAGACAGGGCAAAGAGACGCAACCAAAGGAACTGTTAGATAAAAGCAGCTCAGCCCACAGCAGGAATGTGGGCAAGGTAAGAGGCTCAGAAGAGACCCTCCTAAGTTTCTTGGGCTGTAAAGGGGATGGGGGAAGAGATATACTTTCAGACTTGTAAGATTGTCAGCCTTGCGAGGTAGACCAGACAGGAAACACAGCCAGATGAGCTAATTCTACTTTATTGTAAAACTACATTAACAGAATCTTGCAAGTCTGAAAGTACTTCTCTCCCTCCATCCCCCTAACAACTCAAAAACTAGGGAAGGGCTCTTCTGAGCCTCTTGCCCCATCCACATTGCTGCTGCTGGCTCAGCTGTCTTTTATCTGATCATTCCCTTGGCTATGTCTCTTTGTCCTGTCTCCCAAGGTCATACCCACATACCATTACAATTATATATGTGATTTTGCATCTCCAGACTACAACATCCTATCAGATTTGGCTCCATTGTGGAAAAAGCTCTTTCCAGCAATTAATGGGGCCTCAGGAATATTCTGTCCCAGACCCCAACTACATCTTATGTGTAAAGCCGTGTTTCTCAATCTTGGCAACTTGAAGATGTGTGGACTTCAGCTCTCAGAATTCCTCAGCCATCCATGCTGGCTGGGGAGTTCTGAGAGCTGAAGTCTACACATCTTTAAGTGGCCAAGGTTGAGAAACACTGATGTAGAGGGTGATGTGTTCCCCTGGATATATTTGAGCCAGTCCCTTCAGAATATATATGCTCTCCTTTTCAGTAAATGGGAATATCTATGTGAGAGAAATTGTGTGCAATTTCTACCCTCCACCTTTTTTTTTTTTTTTTTTTAACTAAAAGATGGCTACTAAGTAGGGAAATCCCTGTATGGATTTGGATTCACAGTCCTGTTGCTGTTTTGGTAGGGAGAGGTACAATAATTTGCCAGGGAATGGGGGGGGGGGCGGAATGATTCAAAGCTGTGATCTCTTTAGTGTATTTGTCAATATACCACAGGGTATTTTTCTGATCTAGTGGCAACTGTCTAGTCCTCTGCATTATTATGTTGGGATGTGGTTCTTAGCAGCAGCATTCTTGGTTGTCTAACTAGGTTGTTTCCATATTAGTGTGGGTGGGTGTTGTTGGTAGTACATTTTCTGACCTGGGTTTGAGCTTCCAAAAGGTGACCTCCAATGTTATATGGCCAAAATCAATTTGCAGTTTCACATACCTGCTAGAACGTGTGCATAGATATAAATATAGTTAATGGAGTGGAACTGTAAAAAATAATAAAACCCCAATGTGAAATGTTGAATGCCTTGTCAAACTAAATTTGATTCATTTGGTAATGTACTCCCCGCTTCAAAGTTTTATGGACTTATGTATAAGAGTGCCAATGTGATGTTCAATCCAATGTTAAAAAATATAATGTAAATCAAACTACTGAATTATTTTCTGGTATAGTTTCTCCTCTGGTTATTTTCCCATAATTAGAATGTTCAGAGAAAATCATTGAAAACCATTTGAAATCACTACCAATCTAGAGTCTCCTTTCCCCTGAAACACAACTTCTGCTTCATATTTGATATGTTTATTTCCAGATATATTCAAGTTGCTCTATAACCAAGTTATCAAATTATTTACCACAAAAGTATAACAAAATAAAATGCAAAGGGTTAATGGGATACCAATATTAAAAACAGCAGAATACATTGACAGAAATAAAATAAAATCTTCACATGAAGGCAGGCATCCTGTTGTAACTATTTCTACACATGCTCTGTTTACATATTTGTTTTTTCAGCTGAAATAATTTTTCTGCTCCATAATTTTTTAATGGCGTTCTTCATCTCTGAATTTCTTAATGTGTAGATTAATGGGTTCAGCATTGGGGTGATAATAGTATAAAACACAGCTACTGTCTTGTCTTCTGAGAAGTTGCTGGAAGGGCGTATATAGGTAAAGGTGCATGGCCCAAAAAATAAAATCACTACTGTGACATGGGAAGCACAAGTAGAAAGAGCCTTACGACGCCCTTCGGAAGAATGAGATCTCAAGGAGACCAAGATGACAACATATGATACAACTAAGATGAGGAAGCAGCTTAAAGCAATCATCCCACTGTTCGCAACCACTATGATGCCGATGATATAGGTATCTGTACAAACCAGTTTCAATAGAGGGTGGACATCACAAAAATAATGGTCAATTTCATTGGGCCCACAAAAAGGAAGCTGAGCGGTGAGAAGAGTCTGCACCAAGGAGTGCAGAAACCCCCCGACCCAAGAAGCTGCTACCATCTGCCCACAGACTCGCCTGGTCATAATGGTGGTATAGTGGAGTGGTTTGCAAATTGCAATGTACCGGTCATAGGCCATCACTGTAAGAATGAAGATCTCTGTGCAGCCAAAGAAATGAACTCCAAAGAGCTGAGCTATGCAGCCAATAAATGAGATGGTTTTTGTTTCCAGAAGAAAATCTGTAATCATTTTGGGAGCTGTGACGGAGGAATAGCAAATGTCTACAAAGGATAAGTAGCTGAGGAAGTAATACATGGGAGAAGCCAAGTGGGCATTGAAAATTATCGTGACTACTATGAGAAAGTTTCCCAGCACAATGATTAAATAGAAGCACAGAAACAGGACAAAGCATATTTTCTGGGTTTCTTCGTTTTGCGTGAGGCCAAAGAGGATAAATTCAGTCACGTTGTTTGTGTGGAGTGTCATGGATGGGAAGTCCATATCTAGATGACCTGCAATACAGTGTAAATAACTATCAACTGACATATTTTATTAACATGTATTTTTGATGATTTATGCCTGATCTTATATGCCTAAAAGAATGACGGTAGATGTCTGAAGATGCAGAGTACAGGCTAACCATTTCAGATGGCAGACCTGAAATCCTATATTTGAATTCTTGATTGAGAATGTATGCATAAATAAATAAATAAATAAATAAATAAATAAATGTTCTCGTAACATTTTTTAAAACCTAGCACAT